AATTAAAGATTTCATTAAAAAAGTTCAAAGACATTAGGATGTGCTGCTTCTATATGACATAAAGTAATATCTATACCTTCTAGAATTGCTAAGTCTATTCGTTTCTTAATATATTCAATAGTAGGAAACATAATTTCACAGTTATTTGAATCTGTAAAACTATGTTCTTGACATTCTTCTATCCAAGTTGAATAAGTAGCATTATGAAGCATAGTTTGGAAGGATGTAACATTAATTGAAGAACGAAGTTGGTTTGGACAGAATTTATATCCAGATAAGTCAATAGAAATAGATGTTATACTTTTAAGGTTTTCATTCTTAGAAGTACAATCTTTGATAAGATTTTCAATGTACATCAATGGAGATGAACAATGAGATGAATGAAGACTTTTACTGTAATAGTCTGTTGTATCTATAATGAATTCATCAATATACTTTTGTAAAGAATTAATTATTGTACCACTTATGGCAACACTTCTTGGCTATAATTACTTAATAACATGTAATATAAATAATGAACAATAAACAAACAGGAATAATGACATATACTTTCTTGTTAATTTTATGTAATTCTATTCCAATTCTTCTAAGAACTAAACGCACATCACGTGTTGATCTTCCTGTAATATAAAACAAATTTTCAAGATCTTCAAGACAAATTCCATCTAAGTTATATTTTCTTACAAACTCTACAATTGAGTTTGCAACTTCAAATGACAGATTTATAATATTCACAAAATTATCAAATTTGATATGAGCAATTCGTTCTTTTGAATTTATTGAATAATTCCATACCCCTTGAACTTTTGGAAATCCTGTTTGAATTGAATCTATGCTAAATCCTTTTATTATTATTTGATCAATTCTGTCATTATGTTCATTAGCAATTTCTATTTCTCTATCATTTTCTACAACAACAAATATTTTTCCATTGAATTTTCTTGGTTGGTGTTGAATAGAGTTGAAATCGCTAATCACTTCCCCCGTTATATTTTCTACAAACAAGAATGTGATAAATAGGAAGAACATTTCTCACTGTTCTAATGAAGTTCTTTCCATTTTAATTTAACTAAAATCCTGAAATAATAAAAGAATTTATTTGTACTAAAGTGTAATATGAATAGAATTATATTTACTATTTCATGAAATGAAATTTACATGTTTATATCATTTTTATTCTTTCTTAAATCCTTCTTCTTAATAACTCCTTAAACAAGAAAAACAAAATAATACTTGATGTTTTATAAATATTGTGTTATTAATTAATGTTTTTTCTTCTTCAAAACAAAATATAGAATGTTATTTGTTTTTTGTTATTAGCATTATTGGGTCAACCCATTTTCAACCCTTTTGGACAAATCAATGAATTATCCCCACTAACTTAATAATTTAATTTAGAATCACCTATTGTCAATGGCAGAGTTTCTATCATTGGGACCAAACATTCAATGTAACTTGAAATTTAGTAAAGATGGTAAGAAATATTTCTTTGGAAATGCACATGTTGTTGGTGTTGTTAATGTTGAAAGTAGTTGTATTACAAGTATTATTGATTTTAAACAAACAGTACGTTCAATAGAAGTTATTAATGATACAACCATTGCTGTTGGAACAGAAAGAGGAATAGTTGAATTATATGACTTAGAACAAGATAAAAAAACAAGAGTTATTTCTATAGGAGAATATCCTATCATTAACATAAAGAATTATGAAAATTATTTACTTATATCATCACCACTAAGAGTGTTATTAATTACTCTTGAAGGTAAAATCATTGAAGATATCTCAAGTAAGATTCTTATTGAAACAGCAACTCTTCTTGGTAATCAAAAAAATGAACTTCCCTCAATTGCTTATGCTCTTACTGATGCTGCTGGTACTTTAGTTATTAAACAAGGAACAAATGAAAAAAGAATTCCAGGAAATAAAACATGGGTAACTTCATTATGTCAAAGTGATGATTTAACACGAGTATTTGTAGGAACTGATTCAGGTAAAGTTTATGTTCATCAATACCCATCATTAGAAGTTGAATCTGTTGTTTCTGTTAGTGATTTAAGAATTAGTGGTATATCATGCCATGGAAATACTACATTTATTGCTTCTTCAATTGATTGTTCGATTCAATTCTTCCAATTAAGTGATTTATGGTTATCAACAGTGCGACTTGGTGGAGTTGGAGATGAAAGGTATATTCGTTTTTCTTTTAATGAAAAGAACAGAATTCTTATTGCATTAACTAATATGTGTCATCTTCATGGATGGAAATTAGATAGTTCTTATACTATTCCAACTCAAATTGTTCTTCCAACTGGACATTCTCAAGCAGTTTCTTCTGTTGAACTTTATCCATTACCAACAATACCATCTAATCTTGCCATTATATCTTCTTCACTTGACTATACTATAAGACTTTTTGTTAAGAATGTTAATCCAGATAACAAAACACAAGAACGTTGGGTAGAAATTGCAAGACCATTAGTGCATGGATATCCTTTATCACAAGCTGTATTAATTAATAATCCTATTCGTGTTCTGACTAGTAGTATTGAAGAAAAGCCAGTCAGAATATTGGAGGCATCAAAGTATTTTATTGAGTCATTAAGATATATCACAAGATCAACCCTTTCTGAAAAAGATATGATTTATTATGAGAAATCACCAATTGGAGCCAATCACCAACCACTTTCATTAACAAATTGTCCACTAAGAGAACATACTGGAAGTAGTAGACAGTCTCAAGTTCAATCACCTACAAAATTACAATTTGATATAAAAACATTAGTCATTCCTGATAGTGATGAACTACCTGTAGAAGATGACATTACTGTTGCTAGTGTTCCTAAAGTCTATATGACTGCACCTCCTGAAGAAGAACTACATTATCATACACTTTGGCCTGAAACAAATAAATTACTTGACCAACAAAGTGAAGTAACACACATTGCTGTAAGTAAAGATGAACAACATATTGTTACTGGTGGATTATATCTTAAACCAAGTAAATTTACTAGCCAACCAGTACCAGCTAAGACTTTATATTTATGGGAAAAAAGTGGAGAGACATACAAAGTAGTTGATTCCTTTTTACCATTTGGTGAAGAAGATGAAATTCAATGTTTAGTATTTGAAGAAGGAATTTTTGCTGTAGGT